CCATCACCCTAGTTCTAACACTAAGCCTAACTAAATCATAACCCTAATAACAGCATTACAGAAGCTCTATCCATCACCCTAGTTCTAACACTAAGCCTAACTAAATCATAACCCTAATAACAGCATTACAGAAGCTCTATCCATCACCCTAGTTCTAACACTAAGCCTAACTAAATTATAACCCTAATAACAGCATTACAGAAGCTCTATCCATCACCCTAGTTCTAACACTAAGCCTAACCGAATCACAACCCTAATAACAGAATAACAGAAGCTCTATCCCTTATCATAACTCTAACACTTACCCCAACCGAATTGTAACCCTAATCACAGCATAACAGAATCTCTATCCCCTTACCATAACTCCCGGGGGGTTACTATATATGCCAGTATTACCCCATGTGCGTTCTCACTAAAAATAATAGGCCCCCTAGTGCGAACTGCACATTGAAAAACCCTACCTCCTGTTGCAGACACAATTGAAGAATACCACCCCCTATTGCATACACAATAAAAATATCCCACCCCCTATTGCATGCACAATGAAAGAGTCCTACCCGGACCCCTACCCCCTATTGCGAGGTCTCGCAGACAAGTGGAGGGCAAAGAGTGGAGGAAATGGAGGGGGCCCGTGAGGGGGGCCTACTGCGGACGCGGTGCTTGATTTGAACGATCCCGAGGGCTTATTGCGGGATTAGCTTTGTAAAGGGGGGCCTATTTGCTCCCGCGCGGGCCCGCTTTAGAAGTTGGAAAACACCCCCCTAACCCGCAAAATTTGGAATGCACATGGGGTAATACCGGCATATATAGTAACCCCCCGGGCCCTAACTCTAACACTAACCCTTACCCTAACTCTAACACTTACTCTTACCAGAACTCTAACACTTACCCTTACCCTTACACTAACTCTAACACTTACCTTTACCCTAACTTTAACGCTAACAAAATCGTAACCTCAATCGCAGCATAACAGAAGCACGACAGGTGGCGCATGCGTGTAAACTATTCATGTAGCCTGCACGCCAAGATGGGCTGAGCAAGCGTAACATGGTTGAGTAGCCACTCTGACGTGTCTACGCTGCCACCTGTTGCACTGTTACCCCAAGGGAGAGTCATTGTGCTGACTAGAAATCACATGACTATGTAACGTCGTAAATATTAGTCTTCACAAGGTCCGGGAGACTATTACCGAGTTCACACGGTTTGGCTCGTGCTAAATGGGCTATATTTGGCTAAGGCGAAGTTTGGCTATGGCCGGTTTGAGTCGGAGCGTTGACACGTACGCAAGTGAATACTGTCTGTCAAATTCAAATTCAAATTCAAATAAATTTTATTGCACAAATATCTCACAGACCTTGGCAGTATATGTCGCGAGATGGCGTTGTATACGATTCAGTGTTTACTTCCCTTCCGAGTTCAATTATCAATCTTGAAAACATGCATCCTGATCAACTGTTTCGAATTTTTATACTGTTTTAGACTTTATTTCGTCGAAGTACACGTTCGACACTCGCGGCATCTACCGCTCTACCGATTTAGCTGGTGCTAAAATTTGGCTCGGGCCTGGTCAGACGTTTTCGATGGGACCAAATTGGCTTGTGCTAACTCGGCACGGCCCCGAAAACCCGACCGTGTGAACGCTTGGCTTGAGCTAAATTTGGCGCGGGCCTAACGCACCTTATATCGAAGACGAAAAAAGACAGAACGAATAAAAGGATCAACACTGCGGACCGCAGTGGAAAAAACTTCAAGTTACCAACTAAAGAGGAAGGGAGAGAATTACAATACGGAATAACGGAGACAACAAAACTAAACGTAAAGTGATCCTCTGAAGATGGCGTCTGTCGAAAGTAACGATGACGCTCGATGTGCGGCCACGTATTGTGGATCGAAAGAGAGTTACGTGGCTAGCATCTCTACTTAATTGTGTTGTAGCCCCTTGATCTGATACAGCTACTAGTGTTACTGCCCCACATGCTCAGCTTATATGCCAAACTAAATTACGTAATGCCGG